CCTGTGGAATAAAGAAATCTTAAAATACTTAATAATTTAGATAAGGGGATAAAAGGGCATTCATCAACTAAAACAGAGAAACTACCTGAATCGCCAAGGAATAGTTTTAGAATGCTGGGCTTACCTTCAAATACAGTCCAGGTACGGAAAAGATAAAAAGAATGGGGGATTAGTTGACAAGATACAGCATTAGACAAGATACAGTACTACTGGGTCCTGAAACAAAACAAAACAAAGAATATTTATAGATATCTAATAGATTATAAATTATATGCAGGACAAGTAAAAGAAACCATAGTGACTTGGGGTAGGGATTTTGGTCACACTATCAACTTAGATCAATGGCAGCAAATTTGGGATCAGAACAAGAAGATTACGTTAGCGGCATCATATAAAGAAAACCTCTATAAGATGTTTTACAGGTGGCATTTCCCACCTGCCAGATTAGCTAGAATGTACGGTAACCAATCTCCCAATTGCTGGAAATGCAGGAAAACACGGGGTACTCACTATCATACATGGTGGAGCTGCAAGAAAGCACAGGTTTTTTGATGCAAAATTTGGTTATGGCTAAAAGAAATGACAGGACTTGAAATTCAATACACACCAGAGATGTTTCTATTAGGAATAATGGAGGGGAATGTAAACAAAGTTCATACTTATTTAATTATACACATAATTACGGCAGCAAGAATAACATTTGCCCAAAACTGGAAGGCAAGAGAGATTCCAAGTGAAGATGCCTTGATTGTGAAAATATTACAATGCGCCGAATTAGATAGACTTACACTCGAATTGAAGGAGTGAAATGAACTAGAACATTATAATATATGGAACAAATTCTATAAATGGAGGGACATGGAAGGATGTTCATAGATTTAAAATAAATGGAGAAGTGTTAAAAAGTAATATAAAGATAATTGGAAAAATGAAACAAAAATGTACATTAAAATGTATATAAATGTATTACTTTTTTCTTTCTTATTTCTAACTGTTTAAAAAATTGGACAGAAATGTATGTCAAAGAAGAAACACCACGTTCACTGTTTTTTAATGTTTATATCTAATAAAATTTATTTTAAAAAAACAAACAAATACACTAGTACATAATAGGTGATATCTGGCTCAACAGCAGTAACTGTGAGAGAGATCTAAGAGTCCTGGTACACAATTACTTAAATATGAGCCAGCAGAGTGCTTCAGCTGCTAAAAGAGCCAATGCAGTCCTAGGATGCATCAATAGAGAGGTAGTATCAAGATCACATAAAGAATTAGTTCTGTTTTGTAGTGCACTGCTAAGACTACATTTGGAACAATGCATCTACTTTTGGTCACCATGATATAAAAAAGATGTTGAAACCCTAGAAAGAGTGCAGAGGAGAGCAGTAAACATGATTAGGGAACTGGAGGCTAAAACAAATAAAGAAATTGCAGGAACTGGGCAGGACTAGTCTAATGAAGAGAAGGACTAGGGATGATGTATCAGGAGGCTGTCACAGAGAAGATGCATTCAACCTGTTCTCCAAAGAATCTATGACAGGATTAGAAGAAATGGATGAAAATCTGTCAAAGAGATATCCAGCCTAGAAATAAGGAGAAATTTCGTGACAGAACAATTACTATTTGCCTCCAGAAATTATTGGTGATCCATTCCCTACAGGTTTTCAAGAACAGATTGGACAAGCGTTTATTTGTGATGGTATAAGACCACCAAGGTCCCTTCCAAGTATGTTACTCTATATTCTGTTTTTGAACCTCTTGAGTAATGTATTTCTTGTCTGTTCTTTTGCCCCCTCTAATAAGGGATGAAGCTTTCTATAGAACTCTTCCTAAAAAGTGGAAGGGTGCACATGGGTGTGATGCTATCAGAAGCAATTGGATTAAAAAGGATTCTTTATCAGGAAGGAAACCACAGAGTCCTTCCTCCTGGGCTCCGATGGAAAATGCACCATTTTCACCTTTGGCATAAGCGCCTTCCTTGCACACACAATCCATCAGGTGGCTCCAGCAGAAAAGAGAACCGGACACCGTGCGATTCACCATTCGGCCACTGGAGGGCGAACGCCAGAGGTGATTTATCATAGGAAAATGGGAAGGAAGTGACGTCACTGAATCTGACGCTAAGCTCCGTCTCTATTTAACCCTTTGAGCTCCGCAGGAGGTTTAAATGGGCGCCAGAATGTCTTGAAGGGAGGAGAACTAGAGGTGGGCAGGGTAAGTGGCGGGAGGGAGTGGGCGTGTGTCTCCGCGTGCAAAGGGGAGGGGGCAGAGGGTGCTCGTGCTAGAGAAGGAAGGGAGAGAAGCCAAGTCCCCATGCAGGTTCAATCTCCGGAGTCCTGGGGGTGGGAGAGCCCGGATCCCATGTTCCCCTGCCGCTCCTCTCCACGCAAGTGGCAGGAAGAGGGAAGCGGTGCTCAGGGTGAGCCGCGTTGCTCCGGTAACAAATCCCCAGAGAGGAGGAAAGGTCCTGGGAGAATCCTTCATCCCCCCATAGCCTGGAGAGAGCTCCGAGGTGGGAGATGGGGAGAGCTTGGAGGGCAAATCTGGAGCAAGAAAGAAGAACATGGTTGCAAGGGAGGAACTGCAGGAGATTATCCTTCTGTGCTGGAGGACACTAAAATAGGGTTGGATCCTCAGCAGTTCAATTTCTCTTAGGAGGGTGAGTGAACCAGGACCTCATCAACCCCGGTGTCTCATGTGAACAGTTGCTTAGCCTCTTTGTGTTTTGGGTATGTTTTAGATATCTGCCTGTGTGTAATCCTGTGATTTGACTGTTAAAAAGGAAACCTTGAAGAAAGGGAACATCCAAAGCAGGTCACTTTGGGGCATTTCTTTTTTTTTTAGTGAGCTTTTATGTTTTGTTCACCTGTTGGAGTTTGTGTAACCCCCTTGTAAGTAAATGCAGATTTAGGTTTCTGAGAAAAAAGCAACTGAAAATAATCCAAAATCCAAACATTTATTCAGTGTTCTGAGTCCATGATGGAGACCAGAGGTGGTATTCAGCAGGTCCTGACCAGTTCTGGAGAACCGGTAGTGGAAATTTTGAGTAGTTTGGAGAACCGCCAAATACCATCTCTGACTGGAGATTGTTGTGGAGCGGCGGAATAACCTGAGGCAAACACAGAGGGAACTTCAGCTTTTACTTTATTGTAGCTATAAAGGGTTGCCACGGCTGCCGCGCTAACAAGGTAGCCAGCCACCAGACAACAGCTGATGCCGTTTGACAGCTCCCTTTTATAGCCGGCTGTCAAACGGCATCAGCCTATAGGAACGGTCCGTGTTCCCACTGGAAAAAACGGACTGGAGTGAAGAATTCAGCTCAGTCTTTTCCAAACGCCACAGAGATTTTACACTATCCTTCCCCTGCCATGCCCACAGAACCGGTAGTAAAAAAATTTGAATCCCACCACTGATGGAGACCAATCTCAATGTTTGTACCAAACACACATTCATGCACAGGGATTAAGTGCTCAATGTCACTGTAATGGAGCTCAATAAAACTTACCTTTCCATTAGAATGATATGTTTTAATTGGGGATTTAATCCACCACTTTCTAATTAATCTCAGATACAGAAATTGGAAGCCATGTGTAACTCCTCTGCTGGAGGCAAAAAAATTGAACAGAGACAGCTGAAAGAGGTGCCTGACCTGTAGCTACAGGAATGGTACTATGAATAGAAAGGTATTTGGAGATCCACAAGATTCCCTGGATCCATTTGGAGTTGCACTACAGGACAT